TGGCATTCAGGACATCATCAAAGAACACACGGCAGAATGGCTGGACCGGTGTGTTACATAAGCCACTCAGGACTGCTTCCATTACGCGCTGAAATGTCGCTGGGCCATTCCTGCAGCCCATCGGCAAAACATTAAACTCAAACAAGCCCAGTGGCGTGGTAAATGCCGTCTTAGCCTTGTCGCTTCCTTCCATTGCTATTTGCCAGTACCCTGACGCTAAGTCAAGGGACGTGAAATACCGACAGCCAGACAGGGAATCAAGCATGTCGTCTGCCCGGGGAATCGGGTAAGCATCAGGCTCGGTGACAGAGTTCAACTTCCTGTAGTCGATACAGAGTCGAAGAGAGCCATCCTTCTTTGGCACCAATACTATGGGTGATGCCCACGGACTAATCGATTCTTGTATTATGCCTTGCTTTAACAGCGTATTCAGTAGATCTTGCAGAGCCTTCCGGCGGTGATATGGAATCCGCCTGGTAGGTTGTTTTATAGGGTTATTTTGTCCTGTGTTAATTTTATGAGGGAATATGTCACAGTAGCCATAGTCATCATCATGCAAGATAAATAAATCGTGGTTATCATGAAGTAGTTCAGTGAGCGTGCGAGACTGTTCTGTGGAGAGATGATTTTGTGCGTTGATATATTCATCGATGACTTTCTTGCGTTGCTCAGTTAGCGGGATCGGGTCGGGTGAAACTGAGGAAACCATAGCTTCAGTGTCGTCAATATGTTCACAATCTGTAGGAATTTGATGAAGTTCGGCAACATTCAAGGGTATTTTTATGAATGAGTATAGGATGATTTGCATGATTTTCAACAGCCACAACCACACGTGTTTGGTTAGGGCCAACAGTTACAAGACTAGGAGTCACTGCCACATCTGGATGCTTCGCCATAAAGGACTCCAATGGATCTGCCACGCAATCCATCGCAACCGTGCACACATCAACAGCTGCACAAGGCACCAAGACAACATGTCCTGCAGGTACCGACAACTCCATCTCAAACACCACACGAGATGAGTATACCACAGGCACAGGGTCAGCCACACTCTCGGGCGCACACGCCGGGACAACGCCAGGTTGAGCCATGGGTTCAACAACCCGTGCAGACAATGAATCGTCAAGGGCAACACGAGAAGAATACGACGAAACAGGTACATCGTCGGAGCATGCATCAGAATGAGGAGTATGAGTATTACATGAGGAGGAAGTATTACGCGGAACAATACGATCATAGGGCGTACGTGACGGAGGACACCCAGAACCAGAAACATGCAACGGAACAGACACATCGCCAAACATCACAACACCACGAGCAATGTCTAATACACCACCATGCTGCAACAAAAAATCGGAACCAAGAATCATGTCGCAGTGAATACCAGGAGAGACAACAACCGTGTGCTGGAAAGACAGATTTCCTAGCGACATACACAGATCCATGGATCCAACGACAGGAAGTTGTGCGCCATTGACTGCACACAACCGCGGAGCAGACTCTAGAGGAGGTCGCTCTGTCAAATTAGGCAACAATTTAGAATGCACTAACGACACACTTGAACCAGAATCAACAAGAGCAACAACAGGAGACGAAGACGAAGACGAAAGACAAATATCAACGTGGACAATAATGGGTGAGATCGCACCACATACCTCCTCGAGGGGCTCCACTCGGACGACTGACGGCGGCCCCGTGTCACCAGTCCAACCTAGTTTTTTGCGTGCGGGCAAGATGCAATGAAGTGGCCCTCTTCACCACATCCATGGCACACTCCACGGACAGGCCTCGCAAAACTCTGGCCACGACCACGACTAGGCGCACCAGCACCACGAGCAACAAAACGTACATGGTCTTGCTGGGGTCGGGTGGGGCGATACAGACTCACGCTCTCCATTTTCGCCTCCAAAGCAGAGAGACGCGAATCAAAACTCGACAAAAGCGAAGCCAACTGGTCTCGCTCAGATTCCGACTTCAGTGGACCGACTGCTGTGTAGGGGTCACGACCATGAGCGGTGCGACGGGGCTTCACTTCCGGAGCAGCAGCAAATACGGGCTGTGCGTACTGGTGAGGTACGGTGCGGGCCTGCTCGCGAGCATAAATAGCACCTACCTCGATGGCCTTTTGGACCGCCGCATCCAAATCAGTGGGCCGGGGTGACGCCAACGCCAAGCGCAAATCCTTCGATGCCTGGCCATCAATAAAAAGTTGCAAAAGCATTGAATCAAGCAGTGCACCTTGTTGTCCTGGGTAGGCTCGACGAGCGAGCCGACGAAGTTCCGTGGCATACCCGTGCTGAGTTTCACTCGCCAGCTTCACTCGCTGGCGAAGACTGGCCTCGTGCATCAATGGCAATGCTTGCTGGGGCGGCTCAAGACGGACATGCAGAGCCTCGACTGTGTCGGAAAAGTTCATGTCAGGCGTGTGAGTTAGAATTTCGGTGAACATCTCATGAGCTGTACCAACAAGGCGAGCAGGTAGTAGCCGTAGCTTTTGTTCGTCGTCGTACCCACTCAGCTCGCATGTGTGGACGAAATGCCTCATGTACGTGGTGAAATCTTGGCCTGGCTGATTTCCGAATGTCTCAGGAAGCAAAACTGGCTTCGGCAGTGGACGTGCATGTGGTGTGTCTGTGTCCGGCAAACGAAAACGATGGGACAACCCTTGTACCGGCGAACTCTCGCGCTCTTCAGCAATGCTCATGTCACAGCCAGCTTCAGCGAAGCTACGCTCTAGCTTTTCTTGTCTCTTGGATTTCGCTGAACGGCCCATTGTGAAAAAAAATTTGTTTTTGTATTTTGGAATTTTCGAAAAAAATATTATCTGCAAAAATTTCCCGTGGACTCGATCGACGCGCGTACGCCTCGATCTACTATCGATCTAAATCTATTACGTAACCTATCGTGCGTAGCGGCAAACAACTAAATTTGGCAGAGACAATTCCAAATAGGCAACTACTCTACGGACACAGTGTAGCTAGACTCTACTACCGGTATACCCAGCTAGCAGACATCCTAACAAGACACTAGACAGCAGCCAGTATGCACAAAACACGGACACAGAAAATGTTCCGAAAATGTTTGGCCAGACAGGTTGGCGCCAATGCTTGACCTATGGACTGAGTCTGTAAACAATGCATGCAACAAGAAAACGACGAGCAGAAAGAAACACAATGTAGAAAGGAAAATATCGACGAAGAGAGTGGATGAGGATATGGTTTCACTTGCGTGGGCCTTCGTGGTTCTTCATAGTCGGCGATCTCCGAAGGCGTACATACTCCGCCAGCGATGTAGTGGTGGACGTTTTCCGCTGCCACCAGTGTTAGCTGCTCCCGGCTAATGATGCCCCCTCACACCGGAACACAAGGGTATTATGATTGGATAATTAGAAGTATTTGATAAGAGTGTAGACAGAAGGAGAACAGGACAACGACAACTCAAGACTAGACTAGAACAGAACTGGAGCATGCGCTCTTCTATGTGAGTGCTCATTGCCAAGGGGAACGAGCGGGAAATACAAATAGTGAGTATTCAGGTCGTAGCATACACACACCTATTACAGTATGATGTCTGCATACATATAAAAGAGGCACTTCAACAGCAATTGAGAAGTAATTCTCTCTCCCCCCCCCCCCCCTCTGCTACTGAAGTTGCTGTATTCTATTATTCGTGTTGCGCGAGATTATGCTGTTTTGACGGTAGGACTTTGGCGTAAAACTGCTTCTTTGTGGCCTGCATGGCATCATTGTTTCATTTCGTACCTGACGATGGCAATTTTGCCGAAACGTTGTACGTAAAAGGAATCGGTTCGGTTTGCGGTGCTGTGGGAATGGGTGTGTCCACCCAACTACTCTCTTCAACAGCAATGTGCTAACAAATGGCAGCCAGAACATCTACGTGTCGTTGTCAATGTTTCTATAGACTGGCAGTCGCAGCCATAAGCGAGAAGTAGTAAAATACCGGTATTATACTACTCCCTTGCCATCTGTGACCCTTATGCTGTTAGAAAGGTTGGTTGCTTGTAGTGAACTGGGTGTGGAGATTACGCGATTACATCGTCAGCTAAGATGCGTTGGCAAAGTTGCATAACTCGCGGCTCAGTGATGCAAAAGCGGCTAACGCTGCATACCTAGCGGCTAGCACCCATAAGCAGTTCCGCTAGCTCAAGCGGTATACATACTAACATAGCGCCCATGGCCGGTTGTGCTGACTCACCACCATGAAAGCATTTGCAGCGTTTTCATTTGCCATTGCATATGGCAGACGTATTCAATGCCCCACCATCACTGCTACGTCTCGGTGCAGGTCCCGCTCAGTAGTTGTTACGTTCTTCCTATTCTCAGTACCGTCGTCTTTCATTCTTATTTTCGAGCAGGGTATGTGGACATACTAAAAAGACAATTAAATGCAGCGAATACATGTACGATAATTGTGGCGCGGGAACCGCAATAATAGGTCATCATCATATCTACCGGTAGTTTTGTATTTGCTGGTTTTGGTTCACGCTTTAAAAATTCCCGAATCCTTCCCATCGTGAATCTTGAAAAAGTCAATCTCACACTAGCTCTTCCCACTTTACTGTCTTAAATTAAGGCACTTGCAGTGTGTATGAAGTGGAGTTTGGAGTGCAGAGCATATTTCTCTCTCTCTCTCTCTCTCTCTCTCTCTCTCTCTCTCTCTCTCTCTCTCTCTCTCTCTCTCTCTCTCTCTCTCTCTCTCTCTCTCTCTCTCTCTCTCTCTCTCTCTCTCTCTCTCTCTCTCTCTCTCTCTCTCTCTCTCTCTCTCTCTCTCTCTCTCTCTCTCTCTCTCTCTCTCTCTCTCTCTCTCTCTCTCTCTCTCTCTCTCTCTCTCTCTCTCTCTCTCTCTCTCTCTCTCTCTCTTTTCTTTTTTTAGTGCTCTCCATCAATGATTCTTTCCTTTTCTATGTGAAATGTAATCATTTTGCCAAGTGTTTTTTTTTGCTATGTGTGTCTGTGTTGATTTTAACTAAAAACAAACAGGTGGACGTGCTCTGCCTTCCAAAATGAAGTCTGCTGCCACGATCCGCTCTAAACCTCGCAACTTCATGCAAAGGCTGATGACGTGTTTATGTAAGTGGCCATGCCAGAGGGTGCTGTTGCTTATGTGTGCGTGCGTTCGCATGGGTGCATGCGTGCGTGCCTATGTGCCGTCGTGTGATGTGCGTACTTGTGTGTGTTCAAGATTTTGGCTCCATCGTTTTTAGAGTGCGTGGGAAACAGTGCACTTCAGTCCTTGAACTGGGGAAAGCAGGTGCCCGGAAGGTGGTGTTCCTTCCCAAGAAGGACGCGTTCACTGTCTGGTATTTTCCGTGTTGCATTTAGGTTCCAGTGTCCTGGAAAAGTCGTAAGCCTATTCGGTAGATCGCATCCAGTCATTAACGGTGCGTTGGTCTATGAGACCATTATTTGGGAAATGAGAACACTACTGTCGACGACTTATCCTGGATGTGATCGGGAGGTTGGGCAGGGGAGGGGGGGGGGGGTAGCATCACAGTAGTGGGAGGGGGGGGGGGGGGTAGCATCAACAGTAGTGCCACTGTACATGACAGGGGGGGGGGGGGGGGGGTAGCATCAACAGTAGTACCACTGTACATGACATGGGGGGGGGGGGGGGGTAGCATCAACAGTAGTTCTACTGTACATGACACTAGTGAGAAAGCCTGGAGGTTAAAGCCCTGCTCCGAAGAGGTAGTAAATCCGACAAACATTCTGCAGGCCACAGTGCATCTGGAACTCGTGGCCTGGTGTGAAGGCTCAAGGATTACTATGCAGTAATGGGATTTTGGCTACCTCTTCTTCATTTTAATTAACAGGAGAAGAAAGGGGATGACAGTCGATTAAAATCGACTGTCATCCCCTTTCTTCTCCTGTTCCAGTCGAATCCTATGGTAACTTATGCCCCCCCCCCCACCAGTCCTCTATGCATACATGCCCCGCCCCATATGAATTCCTCACCCCATACCCCCCCCCCCCCCCTTCTTACACACCTGCTTCCATACACACGTGTTTGCGGTTGGCCGACCCATAGAAGAGGTATCCAGGGTTGCAAACTCTTTGGAGCTTACTTACTCTTGATGCCACCCATACACACCTGCCCCTATGCACTCATACCCCCCCCCCCCCTGCACGTATGTTCTCTCCCCTTTCACACATGCACAAGTATGCTCCGCCCCCATGCACACATGCTCCCCCCCCCCCAACACATACATGCATGCCCGCATACACACAAGCCCCTTACCGATATCACTTATTTTTCTGCTCATTTCGGTTGGCGTTTTTTTTTTCTTTTCTCGTGTTGGCACAGTTGGGTGCATGGCAGGAGTATGCTTCACACTGATCGGAGTTTTTGTACTGCTGCAGTATTCGAAGCCGTGCACTGTGCAGCAAAGTACCCAGATCATTGACCTGCGCTGGGAACAACAAACTGTTAGTCAGCCTACGCATCGCACTCGAGATGAAATGCCCGTGAGCTCCTCTGCTGGTCAGGCAAGCAGTGCTACAGAGGAGACAGCTTTGCCACACACTAGCGGTCTACCCTCTAGTGCCTCTCCTTCAACACGTGCTCGTTCGCTGGCTAGCGTGGACACTCTCCTAACCGATTTCACGTCGTCCGAGAATTTCCATGGGCAGCTAAAGAAGCTGTTGTGGATCAAGATGCGGATTCTAAGGTGTGTATTGTGGACCGGGTCAATAGGAGTTTGCGTTTGTGTCTTCACTTCACTATTCCAAGGTTTTTTGGAAGGCCTGACGTTTGTGAAGGCAATGCAATACACATGACCTAGTTCACACTTTTCTCACAATATGTCGTCGATCTGTCTGTCTGTCTGTCTGTCTGTCTGTCTGTCTGTCTGTCTATTTGTCTGTCTGTCTGTCTGTCTGTCTGTCTGTCTGTCTGTTTATCTGCCGATCTCTCTCTCCCCCTCCCCCCCCCCCCCCCTTTCTCACTACATACACTGTCCTTCTCCAGTACGAACGTGTCCTGGTCCGCCGCTCAGACCTATGTCAAACGTCACCACCCACTGCTGCTCTCTTCTCCTAAGCATATCCTAGCGTATCCCGGTCTGGTGAGTAAACGTTTAAACTGAGCAGGGCTGCGTGCAGTACCAAACTAAGGTAGTGGTGGCCTAGTACTCAGCCATGTGACCTGTTGAATCGTGCAGTCCTCCCACACTTTCTTATACCAAATGTTTTCTTTCGCTATGTCCGCTCTGTCGATGTGTGTGTGTGTGTGGTGGTGGTGGTGGGGAGGGGGGGGGGGGGGGGGAGGGGTTAACGCTGTACGGAGTACGACGTGCATGTGTGATTGCGTGCATGGGAGGTTCTTTGGGGGGGGGGGGGGGGGGGGGAGTCTGCGCACATGTTGATGTAGGAATGTACATTTGGTTTCGGTTTTATTGCTTGCATTTGTTTCCCTCCATGTGTACCTTATCTATGAACCATTCTGCTTGGTTTGTGTGTGGATATTTCTGCCTGCATCATTAGCTCACTGAAACTTCCTCCTATGACTTTGCTGGATCTGCATTCAGGGTTAGTAGATTCCCAGCATGTAGTTACACTACAAATGTTGTAGCTAATTCTTTTTGCCTTTTCAACACCTGTTGAATACCAGTAGCTACCTCAGTCTTTTAAAACCCTTTGCATGCGGATGACGTGTATACATGCGCCTGAACCCCATGCCGGTTCTTTGATGAGGTGTATGCACGCGCTTCGGTTTGCATTGTGTATCGCGGTGAATAGACCAATGTACAAACTTTCGCTACTCCATGAAGGAGCACCCGATCTCCACAAACGACACACCGTTGGAAAGGTATTGAGCTCTGCTTCCCGATAGAATAAAGATTGACCGAGTGGCGATAAAATGAACACGGAAATCACCGCCTGGAGCAACCGCGAATGTTTTTGTTCGTGGCTTCGCAGTTTTTTGGAGCATTATAGGGGATTTCCTTTTTGCTCAGCGCATGCGTTATGGACATCAAATGAAGCGCGTGGATTTCAGCTTTGCAGAGCAATTTGTGAAAATCCATTGAATTTGAGCAAGGAGCCGAAAAAGAATGTGTGACTGAGTTGTTGTTTCGTTCCGGAGCATGGCGGGCCAGTTTGGAGAGGTCGTGGAAGTGGCCCTGGTGGGGCTATGAAGCTGAGAGCTTCCAGGATGGATTTGCTTGGTCCTGATCGTTCCAACAAGCCCAGGATGACGAAATTCCATCCAGGTGAACTGAAATGAGAATAAAATAAAATTTAGTTCTGAGCAGTGCGCCCAAACTCCACCAGGGGAGTCTGTGCGCTGGAGTGAATGTGTTTTACCCATCATTGCTTGCACGTATAGATTGTTCTGCCGATTCCCATGAATGGGTTTTGAATGGGAATAGCAGTTCCTTAAAAAATTTAATTGATCAGAGACATGTACAGTGACAGCGCCTGACGTATGTGTAATGGATGTAACACCTTTGCCGGAAAATGCTGCTCACTTTGGAAATCTGGTCCAGTGTGGGGGATCTGGTCCAATATGGGGGCATTATACCCAGTACACTTTGTGCCCCTGAAATGCAGTACACAGCTGCGTTACAGAAGCATGACATTGTCATGATGTCCCTACCTATACACGTGTGCATATCTGTGTGTTATGCTCTTTGACCTGTGGCGTTAGGGTGGATACTTGGGAGAGCTCGTCCAGTGGAGTGACCTCTTGGCTGTAAGTGTTATTTTCTGATGGGTGCACGCACACACGTGATATCCTATCCTACGATGCCGTTCAGCATTGTTGCCCCGTTCACACGCGATGGTGGGAAGAGAGGAACAGTAGAGTTATCTCGATCATACAGAGAAGAGCAGTTGGGGGAGGTGGGGTATGGGGGTGGGGGGAGAGGGGAGGGTGATATGCAAGAAGTTTTAGCACAAGAACCTTCTAAACGTCTAGAGACCTTCTGGTTCTGGTGTGCACCACTATCGAAAGTTTTCTTTCTTCTTTCCTTTTAGGCTGGTTGTTAGAGTGCTAGGCTGCCATTTTTTCTGATTCAGATTTCTTTCTGCACTTTTGTCTCTTGCTCAGGCTCTAGTTATCTTGGGTCATCAAGTTGATATTGAAACATCAGGCGCCGGCCTTATGTCAAGATTTGGCAAGATTAGAGGTGGGTTGGTAGCAAGTTGCGGTATTCTCTTGACATGTCAACTGTGCAGTGTCGCCACTTGGCTGCATGCGTCTTCTAAAACGTCTGCGTTAAATTAGTTTCAAGTCGCACGCTGTGGTGCCGCCATGCGGTTGGCATTTGCCGTGCGTCTAGGTGTACCGTGTTTGGTGAAATGATGGTCTATTCATTCGTCGTCGTCCGACAGTACTGTACCGAAATGTCAGATACAAGCCAAGCTTATTATCCTACAAGACAATGTGGGAGCTAGACATCTCTTGAAATTCAGCGTGCCTTAGAACCATGCGTCTCCATAAGCGTCGAAACAAAACTAGGCTAAAAAAAGGGTTAATATAGAAAATCCACTTTGGTTTCAAAACAAGGCTTCTACATGTATTTAAAACAGATCTATTCATAGGTACAATGCAAGTGGTATATTGTTATTAATGGGTTTGACTTTTAAGTCAAACCCAATAACAATATACTGGAGTTTGAGTTTTTATTTAAAATAAAAACTCAAACTCCAGTATGTTTGCACACACACGTGAAGCACCCTGGTACCCTGGTACCCTGTAACAGAAGACCTTCGAGGGACTGTTGGGACTAATAGTTAAAAAAAGAGAGTAAATTATCGTGTCTGTTCCCGAGGGAACTCACGACGGTCACTGACCGGACACCCGGTAAATCCAGCGGCAGATACAGCGCCTAACGGTGGGGATGAGGGGATACTGAGTCTCTCAGTCACTGGCAAGTGCACTGTTGGGAATGCCCAAGTAAAAAATCAATGCAATACAATACATATCTTTGACGTCAGTTCCTTAAAAGAAACAAATGGCCCAGAATCTGCGAAAACCAGGCTTAGGGTGAAATTTCACAAAAAGACTTTTTCCCATTTTCAGCTTCTACTGGGCATGGGGGGTCAGGAAACAAAATATTACAGGTGTGGGTCGACTCATAGTGGTATTAAAAGCATCTCAAACACACCAGGGCATTGTGTTAAAAAATCCAAAAAAACACAAAATTGTTATCACAGGAAAGAAATGAAGAGAGATCCACCATACTGAAGGAAGAGACATGGATGATTTTTGTTAGGTGACATGACAAGTTAGGCATGTGGGGGCAGGCTTGTTGTGGCCCCTTGGTGCTGCAGGCTGTAGTGGCCATGCACAGTCCTGCATGAATTTTGTTTGCTCCTCACTCAGCACATTCTGGGGCTGAATACATGTACTGGCATGCTCTGGCGCTACACACCACAAGGAAACCCAACTCCAGTTGAGATGGCACCTTTTGAAAGGTGAATCTAGTACAACTGTTCAGAAACAAGCAAGAACACAGCCTTTCAACCTGTTCCACTGTTCATAGTAAGCGCATAGTGTGCTGGCGTGCTGCAGTATCTGCAGCTTGGTGCTGACCAGCAAGTGAAATATCAGCACGCCGTACAATCCCTTGCAGCTAGCTGTCCAGCGAGGAAAGTCTCGAGTGGGGGCTTAGCCTCTCGATCTGCTCGCTCATTCGCCTGGCATTCAGTAGCACTTCATCGCCAAGGACTTCAATTCAAAACCGTTTTCACTAGGGGTGAAAGTTGGCATTGAGATCCCGAGTTCGAGTACTCTGGTTTTCTCCGATCGAATATTCGAGTATTCGAGTATTCTTCATCTCCTAAAAATTGCACACCGAGGGCCTTAAAATCACATGATACAACCCTGATTGAACCGAGTGCCAGTCAGTTTTCTCTGGTATTGGTTGGTGTGTCATTTGGGCTCTCTCTACCCGTGAACAAATGTTCACCACACAGTCTGCACATCAATATCTGCTGACTGCTGCTCTGAAACTTCAGATATCTGTTGTAAATGCATGTACCATGTATAATCGAGTACTCTGATTTATTCCGAGTACGATTATTTCTGAAAAAAACGAGCGAGTACTCGAGTATTCGGTATAATTGTTTCACCCCTAGTTTTCACACTGCGCTTCAAGCTATTTTCCTCGTGAATTTGCTGCAAACGTATGAGCTCCGCTGCGCGCGTTCCCTTTGCGTGAGGCCCAGAAACAGCTAGTATCTCTGTACTTCGATTGGCTGGATCGATGTCGTCCAGGTTCTCCTCGCTATCGCCATCACGACTCTAACTGGAGACGATTTCTTCACCATATTCCGCAAGCAGCAGCTAGCGCCGAAATTTCGCCATCCCTGAGTGTAGGAAATGGAATCCGTTCGATCGGCTCAAAAACTCTTCGTTGTGACTAGAGGAGTAGCAGGGAATACTCTACCGGAAGCCCTTTGACTTCCCTGACTGCTGAAACCCTTCCTGCCATGACTGCTACTTCTTCAAACAAGCGAGATTCTCTTTGGTTCCACTTCACTGCACTCGATCGTCCACGCGACACAACCTTTTTACAAAACATCATTTTTCTCAAAAAAATGATTTTCACCCTAAGCCTGGTTTTCGCAGATTCTGGGCCAAATTATGTCTCAAAGAAATCTTTTCTCCACCAGGACTTGAGCCTGGGACCAAAGATTGAATTAAACGCCTACCTATGGTCTAGTTTTGAGATGCAAGTATAGATTAGAAACTGTTTCCTTACTGGCTTGTATGTACTTGTTCAGATTACTACTACGATGTCGTGTTCAGTGACTATATCGGCGTGAATACCATCCGCACTAAGCTACTTCTTCCTTTTGTACGGGTAAGTGAGCAAGAATGGTCATGCCTACAATTGACTCCTCTCTAAATTGGCGCAGTTCACGTGCACGTTAAATAAGACATCTAGCAATCCGGCGACGTATTTCAAGGTCTAACTAAAGCGCTCCTGCCCCTGCCTACCCGTTGCCTCACTATGTCTTCTTTATCGCCGAGTTTACAAATTACTATAAGGATTTTAGATAAATTCACCTAAGTTATGCCTACACACACAACAGAGGCGAAAGGCTGTGTTAGCTGTAACTTAAAGTTTCACGCATCGGAGCGATCATCAGACAGCAGCATTCACTATCGAATTCTCTACGAGCAGGCCTAGATATTATGCCTTAGTTATGCCTAGATATGTTGCTGTTCTTGTTGTTGGTGTGTTGGTGTGTCCAGTGCCGGCTTCGGCTATTAGATTCGTTTGGCACACAGCCCAAAGGTGAGGCCGGGCAGTGCATGGGACAGTCAGTGCTGATGTGTTGAAAACTCTTCTTGTACCCGCCGAAACTACTGTTGCCGACATTGAAATCCGTTGAGAAGTCAAGCGGCCACGGGGCGCTGGCCGTGCAGCCGTGAGCACTGCTGGTGCATTTTTACAGTGTTGCAGTGCGTGTACATGCTAAGCAAGTAAGGATGCCGGCCCCGGTCATTCCACCGGATTTCTATGTCCACGGCAGCACTCGTCCAAGGATATGATGTGGAGTTAGACCAGTCGGATGTCATGCTCCATGATCTCTAGGCGGGAAGCATTATCTATACAAGACTGAGGGGTGTGAGGGGATGGATATGAAGTTTTGCCAAGACCATTAGAATATGTGCAGATGCGCATGCTTCTTTGACACCCCCCCCCCCCCCCCCCACACACACACGCACACACGCACGCACACACACACACACATACTCACATGCACACACAACGTGCATATGGCTTTCCGTATGAAGTACTTCAACACACGTTTAGTTTATTTCAAGTATTATACACTGGAAGTCGGAGGTGAAGTATTCTGATTCCTCGTGTTTTGTTTTGCCTTACAGTTGTGTTTTCAACGCGTAGTAGAACTCAAGCGAAACAGAGAATGTTTACCAAATTCGACTTGGAGGTAACTTTCATGTTGTGAATCTTACTGCTCTACTACATGTACTGTATGTTGTCTTGTGTGTGTGTGTGTCTGTGTGTCTGTGTGTCTGTATGCATGTGTGTGTGTGTTTGTGTGTGTGTGTGTGTGTGTGCGTGTGTGCGTGCGTTCGTGTGTGTGCGTTCATTTGTGTGTACGTGCGTGCGTTCATTTGTGTGTACATGCGTGCGTTCATTTGTGTGTACATGCGTGTGTTTCACCTTGTGTATAATGTGCATGTGTGTGTGTGTGTATGCGTGTGTGCTTGTGCGTGTGTGTGTGTGTGTGTATGTGTGTGTGTGTGTGTGTGTGTGTGTGTGTGTGTGTGTGTGTGTGTGTGTGTGTGTGTGTGTGTGCGTGTGTGTGTGTGGGGGGGGGGGGTATTCGTGTGTGTGTGGGTATGCATGTGCGCGCGTTTATGTGTGTGTGTGTGTGTGTGTGTGTGTGTGTGTGCATGTGCATGTGCATGTTTGTGTGCA